ATTAATAATATGATTAATTAATTGAAATACTATGATAGATAAGTGAGAAATGAGAAAAATAATTACCTTTTAGCGAATGGAAATTCAACATTATTTTGTTGGATAGGTGCTAGATTGGTCATTCTTGACCAACCCCATGCTTGAAGAAGAACACCACATCCGGTCCAGTTTCCCGAATTTGCTATTGAGTTGTTACATAAAGACCTATATAGGTGCGCTAGTGTTGCGGACCCCCAACTATATGCTTTTATTTTATTTACATCTTCTAATAAAGGTAAGTACATAGAGTGAACAACGTTTCCACTTGTATTCAGACATAAAAATAACCCTATTAATAACATAATATAAATTCGAGTTTTTCTAATTTTAAATATTTCCGGAGACTCTGGAGTTAATCTCAAGTCTCTATAAATTGTTTTGAGCCATGACATTAAAAACTTTTGACCCCTCATATCTCGTGGGGTTGGTTCAACCCCTAAGAGTTCTCCTATGACACTACCGCTAGGATTGGTTATACCGTTTACCGCCTTACCATCTATGGGTAAACCCAATAACATGTATGTGTCCTTGAGTGTAACTGCACATTCACCTATTGGAAGATGAAATGTGTGCGTCTCGGGACGCCACCTTTCTTGCAGAGCCAAGATAAACTTGGTATCAAGGAGATAATTTGTAATGTTAATTACTTCTCTAAATCCCGCGCGCTCCAAAAAAGGTTGAATTAACGGGTCATGTGGGAAATGTTTATGCCCACGAGTACGAAACTCATGAGTATTCTACATAAAAACAAACAAGAAATTAGAACATTGTATTTGTAAAAACAAGAAATTAGAACATTGTGAATTATCAAGTACAACTACTTACATAAGACGCGATGTTGCTTAGTGTTCCTCTATGCGTTTCACCCAATGTTAACAGAGACATGACTTCTATAGTGTGGATATATGAGGAAAATATTGGGAGAATTTGAATTGTTGGATATATTTGATGTGTTTTTTGGAATGAGGAGGAGTAGTATTTATAGTAAAAATTTTGAATTTGAAATTTGAAATTTGAATTTATGGTTGTAGAGGTAAAAATTAAATTTGTGTAGTTGAAATATTGATTGATGTGTAGAGAAGTTAATGAGATAGATGAATTTGTGTAGAAAAGAGATTGATGTGTAGAAAATTTCGTACACATGTCATTTTGCATGCATGCAAAAAGTGAATTTTCTTACACATGTCACAGGGGAGCCATACCCCACGGCGCCCCCCTTATATCTTAATGAAGGGAAGCCATACCCCATGGCGCCCCCCTTATGTATTAATGAAGGGGAGCCATACCCCACTGCGCCTCCCTTATGTTTTTAATAATATTAAATTTGTACACATGTCATCTATATGTATACCCCATTTCGTGGCCATTTCATCTCATTGTATCCTAACACATCCCTTAAACTATCATTCAACTATGTCTAGAACATCCAATTATATTATTCATGCCCATTATAATGGAGAGACTTTCATCTCTGAGAATTCGGGTTTCGGGGTTTCAAAATACAGATCTTACCCGATTAACCATGAGTAGAAAAGCAAATTTTGTGCATTTCAAAGAGCGCATACAGTCGAAGATTTTGTCTGGTCAAATCTCCCAGATCATTTACAGAAGTCCTGTTTTTTTTTGACAACAATCAGGTCAAATATTTTCAAGAGAAAATACAAGACAACAGCGATGTTGATCAAATGTTCGATAGTCATGAACACTCTGGGTTCGACTATATCGAGGTTTATCTGTTACTCTGCCAAACTGAACATGAGGTTGGCGAAACAACGGATATAGATGAAATTGATGTTGTGGACGAGGAGGAAGAAGATCCAGATGCCATGGTTGATCAAATGGTTAATTTGTTCGGGACTGGGGACTACATTGCAATGACTCCCCTGCAAGACATAGATGAAGAGGCCCTACCATTAAATCAAGTGTATTGTCCTCCCCAACACATGACGAACTTGCAATTCAGTGGAGACGATACTTCCTCAGATTATTTCTACAATCCTTCTCAACAAATTGAAGGTGTCTTGAAAGTCGGAAACCAGTACCGCACAAAAGAGGAGTGCATGAAAGCCATAAGAAAGTTTCATATGGATAACTTTATTGATTTTTACATCAATCGGAACGACTCAAAACGCTATGTCGTAGTTTGTCATAATGCAAGTTGCAAGTTTCGGTTAGCAGCGTCCTATCGGAAAAGAAGTGATTGTTGGGAGATAGGTTCGATGGATCCACCTCATAGTTGCACAACCAACATCAATCGGCAAGATCATGGAAAACTAAGCTCTCAATTGATATCCCAAGAGATTTTGCATCTTGTGGGCGCGGATCCATCTGTGAAGGTGAGCACAATTATCTCTCATGTTGTTGCACGGTTCAACTATACCCCATCGTATAGGAAAGCTTGGATAGGTAAAATAAAAGCGGTGGAACATGTATATGGGAATTGGGAGCATTCTTACCATCAACTTCCACAGTATCTACTAGCACTTCAAAAATATGTTCCTGGTACGGTTGTAATATTGGAGTCACTACCAGCATACACTCCTGAAGGAACATGTGTTGCTGGAAGTAGGATATTTTCTCGTCTCTTTTGGGCTTTTCAACCATGTATCAAAGGTTTTGCGTTTTGCAAACCAGTTATACAAGTCGATGGAACATGGTTGTATGGAAAATACAAAGGAACATTGTTGATGGCGGTAGCACAAGACGGAAATAATAATATATTTCCGATTGCCTTTGCCCTGGTCGAGGGTGAGACAGGCGAAGCTTGGAGTTTCTTCCTCAGAAATCTCAGAACACATGTCGCACCTCAACCCAACTTATGTCTGATTTCTGACAGACATGCTTCTATTGTGAGCGCCTACAACAATCCTGCTAATGGTTGGCACAACCCTCCTTCTGTACATGTCTTCTGCATAAGACACATTGCTCAGAATTTTATGCGGGAAATTAAAGACAGAAATCTCCGTAAAAAAGTTGTGAACGCTGGGTATGCCTTAAACCAACCATCGTTCATGTATTACCGAGAAGAAATAAGGTTGTCAAGCGCGGAAGCATTAAGGTGGGTGGATAATATTCCAGTCGAGAAATGGACTAGGTCATTTGATGGAGGGTGTAGATGGGGTCACATGACCACAAATCTTGTAGAATCCCTAAACGGCGTATTTAAGGGAACTAGGAACCTCCCCATCACTGCGTTGGTAAGGGCAACGTATTACAGATTGGGGTCACTTTTTGCGGCAAGAGGCAAAAAATGGAGCGCTGTACTGCAATTAGGGCAAATATTCAGCGAATCAAGCATGAAGTATATGAGGGATGAAACTTCTAAGGTGGCCTCACATCGAGTTAGACCATTTGATCGTCACGATTACAACTTCATTGTTGATGAGACAATGGATCACAACGAGGGTCGGCCAATGGGACACTACAGGGTGGAACTTCATAAAAATTGGTGCGACTGCGGAAAGTTTCAAACCTTCCGCATGCCTTGTTCACATGTCATTGCCGCATGTTCAACTGCTCGTCAGGATCCATTCTTGCAGCTATCAGAAGTTTACAAGGTCGCGAACTTATTCGGTATCTACAGTAGCAGTTTTCCAGTGGTAGCTAGTGAGGACTACTGGCCAACCTATCATGGAAACACAATCTACCACAATGAAAATATGAGAAGAAACAAAAAGGGCCGCCCCAAAAGCACCCGAATTACAACTGAAATGAATACAGCTGAGAAAATGGAAAGATTGTGCGGAATATGTCGTCTTCCCGGGCATACGAGGAAAAACTATCCAAATGTTGGAACAAGTTCTAGGTAGATTTAATTTGGTCTTTAAAATTTGTGTAATCGTGGAATTTAATATTTATATCAACTTTTCATTACCACAAAAACGAATTGAATTACTTCTACAACAACAACGCAAATCATTAAAATACAACGATTATTACAACACAACCTAAGATATAACAACAATCAAAGTAATATCATCAGTTCCGAACATCATAGACCTAACTTCGTTGTCATCTCTAATTCGCACCCAGTCCCGCCATATGTTTTCGTCTTCAACAGAGAAGTACGAGACAAGTCTTTTAATACTCCTAATTCTTTCACCATTTGGAATGTCTCCTTCTAGCCACCGATTCAAATTTCTTCGTAGTTGTTCTAAACTCTGGATGTTCCAAAACAACATCCTTATCGGAGGCTTCGTCGGTGAAAAAGTTACATGCCCATATCTTCTAAGGTACATGACTCACTCTTCTAAATTTGGATGAAACAATGTTAACAACAAGTCTACCTATTTATAAAAAAAAATTTGGAATAACATAATATAAAATTTTAATTATATTAATTATAATATATTTGAAAAATTATTTTCGTATAAAGGGAGCTCCATAGGGGATGACGCCCCCCTTTAAGTCATTTAAGGGAGGAGCCAAAGGGGATGACGCCCCCCTTTAAGTCATTTAAGGGAGGAGGCAAAGGGGATGGCGCCCCCTTTATAATTTATAGGGTGCCTCCATCCTAGATGGCACCCCCATATAAATTATAAGGGAGGAGCCATACCCCATGGCGTCCCCTTGTAAAAAAAAAATAAATACAAAAGTTGGGTAGATTGGAGAATATGAGGAAAAGTTGGGTAGTTTGGATATTAAGGGGGGTAAGGTTGGTTATTTGGGTAAAAATCTCCCAACTCTCGATCTTTGAGTAAATATAATTTGGGCCTCTATTATAAGAAAAAAATAATGTAAATAATTACTTTTTAGTATTTTTTTACAAATTATTATTTTTTAATTATACTTTTTTTGGACTAAAGTAAATAAGTAATTATGATTTATTTATTTATGGGTTATTTTACATTTTAGTTTAATGATAAAACAACCTTAAAAAGAGTGTCCGTCAAAAGGAGAATTAGAGAACTGAAGGGATTGAAACCGCAGGTGACGACGGCGTACCCTTCTGTGACGGATACATGGAAAACGATGACGTTGATATGGTCGGCGCCGACAACAACGAAGCCGTATGTAATATTTTCCGTTCATCTCATTGTCGTTAACACAATTTCCCTTTCATTTTTGGCGTTGTTTTTCAGTCCCAAAAACCCTAATTATGATTTATGCATCAATGTTGATTATGATGACATCAGGATTTGGATGACATGAAGAAACGGTTGAAGGAAATGGAAGACGAAGCTGCTGCTTTGCGAGAGATGCAGGCCAAGGTCGCGAAAGAGATGGGATCCGTGCAAGGTGACTTCTGTTTGTCCCCATTTTGGTTGAGGCTGCTTAGTTCTATGCTTTTTTTTGTGTGCTTCATTTCTATTCTACAACATAAAAATGAAAATTTTGAAGATTTTTTGTTAATGTTTTTGTCAAAATTTGTTGATGAAAATTTTGAAGATTTTATTTACTGAATTTTGGTCTTCATGTGAAGGAAGCTGTAGGATTAAATTGGCTATGCTTGTATTTAGTTTTTTAACCTAGTAAATCAAGATTTAAGTTTGTTTCCTGCTTTGGTAATGCTTTTGCATTGTACCATTGATTGTTTGTGGACTAATTTGGCTATCAATCTAAGATAAGATATTTCATTGCACTTCATTTAGATTTTTGTGTAGTGTAATGATGAATTGCCAAAAATTGGCCAACCTTTTTCTTAGTTCTTGGTTGATACCAATGTTGTCGATGGTGGATGGCGGTCCATGGCGGAGAGCCAAAGTCCCGCCATAACGGCCACAAAGTTATAGGGATTATGGCGGAAAAACCTGCAATAGCAGCACCATAGCAGCCATGGTGCTGCTATTTGATAACACTGATTGATACTTGAGTTCCAGGGTGATCAGAGCCTCCTAGCATTCTTGAGCATTCCCTAGCACATTCCTTTTATTAGACATATAAATTTTTTTCTTTAGGAAAAACCACAGAACAAGTAGTGCATTTTGTTTCTTTAATCTGTCTTTTTTACTTCTAGTTTTTCTGTCTCATTCTCCTCTTGCATTTGCACATGGTGTGGTCACTGTTCTTTCTTACCTTGCAAGATATTTCATTTTTTTATACTCTTGAGTCTCTGTTAATGATTGTTATCTCCAAACAGATCCCGCTAATGGTTCTGCAAGTCAGGTTAATAGGGAGGAAGTTGATTCTCGATCAATCTTTGTTGGCAATGTGAGCTGTCTATTCCCCTGTTTATGTTAAAACTTTCTATTCTGCTTATTAAGTTGTCTTATTGTCATGTTTTATAATATGGGCTGTGTATATGGATGCAATTAGCTTATATATTTAGTCCCAAGTGATTGGTTCAATTATACGAGTCAATTATGTATATGCTGCTTTTGGGAAGAAATTGAAGATTTTGTTAAGCCCAAAGCTTATGCCTCTATATTTTGTTTACATTAATTGCAGAGTAGGTTTGGGTTTAATCTTGATTGTCTCTAGCACCACATTGTACATAATTTGGAGATCATTAAAACCACAATTTTGTGTAAAACATTTGTGCTTTTGAAATCATGCACATGGTTACCTGTGTTTGCATGTCTGTGGAAATGCTGTTGTTAGAATATGGTAGGACTCCCAAATCATTAACTAGTCACAATTTTTCTTACCATAAATTTTCAATAGCAAGATCAGGAAAATCTGCAACTTAACTCAGATTTAATATAATAGCAAGGGGACACTGCTATATATATTTTTGTTACATGCTGTTTTATACTGTTTTATACAGTTTCCCTGTTGTTTAGTAGGTTTGTTATAAAATATGGTGAGCGCCTCTGTTGTTCATGTGTAGCATTTTTTATTTGTGTAAATATTACATTCTGATATTGAGGGCTTCATAATATGCAGAATTGACAGTGTAGCACAATACAGAGTATAGCATAGAGTAGATTGCAGGGGAATTACTTGTAGATGAGATAATGTGAAACGAAGAAGATTGTTGTTCTCTGTATATAACATATATCACCCCAAAAAAGAATCTTAGATGTTAATATTTGTAATTAAGTAACACAAGTAGAATTTTAAGGAACACTTTGTTGCAAACATTTTCCATTTAAATTAAACAATAATTTATATTTATATTAGTTTAATAGCTTAAATACCAGATTGCAGAACACAGGGCGCCAAGTTTGTGTAGGATGAGTAGATTTTTCATGACTAAAAAATCATACATAGAAATGTATGATTGGAGTTGAATATGGCATGAGATAGAGCAAATGAACTCTTCCTCAAGGCCAAGTCATACATGCATGTTCAAGTTGTATCAATGTTATCAAATAGCGCGCCATGACTGCTATGGTGGATATACATGGCGGTTTTTGGGCTTGATGCAGTGGTAAATATTGGCCGATATTGCGGGTTTTTCCGCCATAATCTGCTATAACGGCACCGCAATGCGGCCGGTATGGTAAGATTTTGGCTCTCTGCCATGGACCGCCATCGACAGCACCGACTTGTATCAGTATATAGGTTTTATGTTTTACCTGGTTTTGTTAGGAGTTTTCATTGTTTGATCTCCTACTCAAAGCCACTCCCACTGGAGACGCCTAAGCTTCTCCAAGTGTTCATTATCTTCCTATTTCTGAGGCTCGGCTACCTGAAACCCCAATTTTCTCGCCTCTGGTCCACCCCTCTACAAAACTCCTTCAATTTTACCAGCTGTGTTGGACGAATGAACCTTAACCTCCCTCAATTGTGTATTCAACCTTGGTAATGTTTTTTCAGGAAGTCTTACATGTCACTATGTTGCTTGTGTTGTGTCAATGTCTCTTCCTTTCCAAAATATTCTGTGAAAGACTTTTTCTATATTTTCTTACATTCTTTCATAGGTTGTCAAGATCCCAATCAAGATCGTAAATCATACGATTCTGCAATCTCACTCCCAATCACCTGAATCGTTTTCAGAATCATGCATAGAAGATAGATCGCTGCAAAATCGTAATCAGATCCTTAAATCGCACGTTTATGTGTGATCCTGGCCATATTTGCTTGGATCATATCAGACCTGCGGGGGTAGCAATCCTGGTGGTTCTATCAAAACGTAAAAGGTCCTATTTTTAAATATTTTCTCATCTGTTCAAGTCGTCTCCCTCCCTCACAATCAACTCTGCTTCTTGCGGCCACTTGCGACCTTCTCTTTCTCTTCAGAGACATGCGACAGCTGGTGGTGCTTTTGTTTTTTGCCCTGACTCAGTCGCATGCAAAAGGATTGTCTTCCTCTTTGATCTTACTTTGTTTTTGTTTTCTGAATCATGTTGCTTTCTCTGTTTTTCCCCGTATTTGGTATGTTCTCTGTCTCTTGTGTTAAAACTCATGATTATCAAGATGGTGATGATGATGATAGCTTTCTTGAGGCCATTCATAGTTATTCACTTGGTCCTTCCCATGTTTCCTCATGAACTTCTAAATTCAGTCTGTTTTTATTTTGATTTCTTCCTAGTGTTTTTCCGCCCTGTTTGTCATCAAATTGTTGTTCACGGCCTTTTTATATGCCTGACTAAATTCAGGTAACAGACATTTATCTAGAATACCTAAGCCATAGTTCTCCATATTTGTTGCAGTGTATTTTCATTACTCAGACCATTAATTGAATGGTAAATGCATTAGTCATTTAGCCTTCATTGGATTTATTTAGCTTCTATTAATTGAGCTCTAACTTTGCGGGTAAAGTAAGATATCTCAACTATTGATAGCAAAAATCAATGATAGTGTTTGAAAACACTTACGACTTGCTATTTGTGTATGGAATATCAATTTTTTATTTTTCATCAATGGTGATTTTTCTTATTCTACCCTCTAAGGTTTATAAGTTCACTATAAAGATGTCAAATCCGTCTTCAGTTCACTACTCTATCCTGGAAAGTTTGAAATCTGTAAAGATTATGGATATGTAGGTAGCAAGAATTTATTTGTTTGATGTTGAATATATAGAAATATGATTGTGCTTTCTACTTTGGCATTGTGCTTTGACATAATGTTTGCCTACAATTGCAGGTCATGCTTCCATCTATAAGTTTCTGCTCTAGTCATGCTGCAGTTGGAAGTATATGATATAAATATAAAACATATAACTGGAAAAAAAAATAGAAGTATCAAAATTATGAAATTAAAGAAAAGAGCGGAAAAACAAAAGATGTAACACTAACAAAAATATTTAGAGGGATACAAAAGGGGATAAGAAAGTTTAACTGTTAGATATTGAGTTGTATGGATTTCGATACCGAAAACAATAAGGTGGGGAAAGAGCAAAATAGTGTAATCTATTATTTAGGACAGTAAAGAGAGGAATTTAGGATGGAGAGTTTTATCTACTATACTTTGTGATTGTGGCCGGATGTATGGACAGGAAGGGATAATATTGCTGATCGAGAATCTGGAATTCTACTGGTGAAAAGAGGACACCTTATATAGGTAAGGGACTGTGCATTGGTATCTGCAGTTTTGATTGCAAAGGCCAAGGACACTTTTGGTGATGCTTAGTGCTCACGAAATTTATAGGCATTATTTTCTCACGGTGGGTCTTTGACATTCCTTCCTTTTTATCCATGGGATCAAGAGGAAATTTCAAATCATTTTTCTTTCTTATTGCCTTTTATAATTCACCAATATATCAACTGTTTTCAAGGAAAAGCAGTTCGGAATTTATGTACTTGGGCGAAATATTCTTTGAAAGACTAAGTGCAAAGTGCACTTAAGAAAGTAAATTTCGTGGTGGATTGCTGTTAACGGAGAAAATAGTGATATATTTTTTATTAACAGAGTACAATCCTCTAAATAATAATTATGAAATTCCACTTCCTTGATTTTACATATGCCCTTTTTTATTAGCCCTTTGATTATTTGTAGCTTGATTTGAATTTCTTTCTTAAGTGCAAAGTGCACTTAAGAAAGTAAATTTCGTGGTGGATTGCTGTTAACGGAGAAAATAGTGATATATTTTTTATTAACAGAGTACAATCCTCTAAATAATAATTATGAAATTCCACTTCCTTGATTTTACATATGCCCTTTTTTATTAGCCCTTTGATTATTTGTAGCTTGATTTGAATTTCTTTTACAGTTTTTCATGCTATATCACGCCCTTGTTTCAAATCATTATTTTGTTAAGCAGCTAATGAAAGTTGTTCTCCCTAGTCTGAAATTATAGGCAATATTAAATTATTTGATCGGTGAAGTCTCTAACATGATAAACCCTTTTCGTTCTCCAGCTGAAATTAACATTGTTTCCCCTTAAATTGTTTACTTTTGTCAAGGCTTTAGCAGATTGTCAATCAAGTTTGGCTTTGCAGTCATTTGATCTCTTGACCTTGATGTTTCCTACAGGTGGACTATGCATGTACTCCCGAAGAAGTGCAACAGCATTTTCAGTCATGTGGCACAGTAAACCGAGTCACCATTCGCACTGATAAGTTTGGCCAACCCAAGGGATATGCTTATGTAGAATTTGTTGAAGTAGAAGCTGTTCAAGAGGCTCTTTCCCTGAATGAATCTGAACTGCATGGACGGCAATTGAAGGTTATTACAGCAAGAGGCTTCTGCTTTTAAAAAAAAAATGTCTGTTTCTCTCTCTGCAGCTATCTATACTTATTTGGACTTTTTTGCAGGTTACTGCTAAGAGGACCAATGTACCTGGGATGAAACAATTTCGTCCTCGCCGGCCTAGTAATCCTTACATGGGATTTCGAGGCAGAACTCCATATGCACCTCCTTTTGCCTATGCCCCGGCTCCTTATGGATATGGGTACGTTGTAGCTTAATCATTCCTTTCCAATATATTATATTTTTTCTGCAACAGTGTAGACTAAGATCATTTTTTGGTTGACTGTAGAAAGGTTCCAAGGTTCAGAATGGGCATGCGCTACAGCCCATACTATTGAATGCCCAATTCTACTTAAATGGATTTATTGATTATTGGATGGACCGACATAATACTCTACTCCTTCACCCTGACATGTTATCTTGGCTGATGTTTTGGCGTATAATGAGAGTATTATCTTTCCTGGTAACCTAGACAGGTTGTTTGTTCCCAGAGGATTGAACATATTTAAGAGTAAACCTTGTAAACTTGTGGTGTTTTCTTCAGCTTTTGCTTTAGTGTTTATATTTATATATTCAAATGTTCTTTGTAAAATTATCCATCCTAAAAATGGCTTAATATATGGGTTTTTTCCTTTTATCAAGCAATCAAATATGTCTTGTGACAAATTTGGTAAACACTCATCATAGGGATACCGGTTGCTTTCGTTTCGAAATAGGACTGTTTGTCCATCTCTATGACGTTTGTTCTGTCTTATCGATGCAATCAAGTACATGGTGTAACTTATGAGTGTATCCTGAAATATTCAACTACGACGATTCCGCACTCAATAATTTGATCCAAAACTTGCTTATTATCAAAATACATGCAAGTTGGAATCCAAAATTTCAGACTATTAGAAGCAGAAAGAGACGTGGCATATAGCTTCACTCATAAAATGTTATGGTCTATTCTTTGAAAACTAGGTAAGGTACTATCAATTTTTACTTATTTCACGGGAATTGTACTACATTTTCAACTTTGGTTGAATAGAAAAAATAATGGGAAAGCTACCTCACCCATTCCTCACATATACTATTAACAGTGTACACCTACACTGTATGTAGTAGTAGAGTTTATCCGAAGCATGATTGCACAGGAAGTGGACCCACTTAAAGAAAAAAAAGAAGGACATGATGTGTCCTTTTATGCCGAATCAGATTCACTCACCTCACCAATGTCATCATCACTGCCACATCGCCATAATGGTCTCCCAGGCCCCAAGCAGTATTTTACCTTTTTTTTCACCCTACGGCCATCAAGGTTATTATTCATGTATATCCTTTCTCATTCATTCCTCAACAACCTTACTTTACTCTATAAAAACACATGAAAAAGAAAAAAGAAAAACCACTCACTATGAGGAATGAAAAGAAATGTCACTTTGAAAATATATTACATATTATATTAATGATATGCCTCTTCTTTTTTCGTCGTTTTTCAGATTTATAACAAGTTGATATAGGAATAAACATTCGTTCCACTTTAGTTTTTAGAAACAGAATTTACACGTCACACTAAACGACAAAAGCTGCTTAAAAATACACTCCTCCCACCAGCCAGAGCATCATTCACCTGCCCCATATTTATCAACCCACCATATATATCTACACCACATCATGCCACGTGTCCGTTCACGGTCCCCTTCTCAGACAAGAGTCCTGCATGCCGACGTCTGCGGGTCCCACATCGCGGGAAGAAGGTACCTTCTCCCGTTAGCACCGTGTGCATTGTAGCTCGAACCAGTAGTTTGATCAACAAGAACACGTCCAGCATAACCCGGGTAGGCCCCACTACCGAAAACCCCCGTACAAGCCGTAACAGCTTCAAGCGGCGCCGTCGCCGGTCCCTGGAAGTACCCGTTGTTAAAGGGATTCGTGACAGTACCAGCCAAAAGCGTGGCTAAGTTGATGATCATTCCGTCAACACCTACGTCACCGTTAGGCGCCACTAGCGGTGACGTCTGTGGTCCGTAAATAGGCTGGTGGAAAGGCCACGCGCATTGTCCAGGACACAGTGTCTCAGCGTTTCCAACCCATATGTAAGGAGTTCTCGCACCACCGTTGCCACGTTGGACGGAACCGTGGGTCCCACAACGACTCATACAGAAACCGTCAACGTTAACATCTTTCGCGGTAAGCACAACGGTTATGGAAGAGAGTTCGTTAAATTTTGTAGCTAAAGCGAGAAGATCTTTTCCCTTTAGATTCTTACCGAGGGTGTAAGAAGGGTGCAGGAACTGTTTCCCTACGATTAGCGTAGACGATCCAACCTTGTATTTCTCGGTGGTCTTCCACCACGCTGCAGCTGAAGGTAGAGGAGCACCGGTGGTGCTAACTGAGTTAATGAAATCAACGATTATTGATCGTTGGATGGGGGTGAATGTACCGTACCAAATGAGATTAACGGTGATGCGTCCTTTAAGGAGTTGGCCGTTATGGTATTTGAGAACTAGAGGTTGTTCTTGTACAAGCTCTCCCACTGTGAGTATGGGTAACAGTACAAGGAAGGTTAACACTAGAGAGAAAGTGATGGCAATTTTGTAATTAGAACCCATGTTGAAGGTCGAATAAGTTTGTTTAAAGATTTTGAGGATTAGAACAAGAGAAAGAAAGAGTGAGAAAGAAGAATTTGAATGTGAGACACGATTACAAATGGAAAACGGGAGGGGTATTTATATACCCGGAACGAGGAAACAGCTGTGAGAAAAAAGGATGATGAAATTTCCGCGTGGGAGTTTTTAATTTGGTGACTTGTTTGCCAGCCTGTGAGAGTTTGAACCCGCGTGACGTGGCAGTCTACAAGTACTACGGATGACTAAGACGTAGAGGAGGTGAGATTACTGATTTAACCTTAGTTCGATTTTGAGTTCATGATCCCGAGGAATATAATGGTTGCTTGCTTTAGCGAGCGTTTCAGTGGCACAGGTTTGAATCTGACTGAGTGGGTCCATTTGAGGAATTTGGATGGGAATATTGGCCTTAGGATTGGAAATGAAGGGTGAGATGGGACGTGTATAATTGGAATGGATTTGCGTCTGGGGCCTAAGTTTATGATCTTGACGTATTATGCAGAGTTTCCAGGAAGAGTGTTTCAGTAAAGATGATGTTGAATTCATCATCTTACATCTCTAAGAAAATATCTTTGATACGAAAAATTATGGCAAATTTTATTGAGTCATCCTTATAAATACTACTCCATCTCTATTCTTTTTTAAGGGTCCTTAAAATTTTAAGTAGCATTGATTGCATTTTTGTTAAAATTATTTTTATGATTTTAACAAATTTTGGATACGTTGTAATGGAAAACAAAATTTAAAAACAATTTTTTTGTATATCGTGATTCTATCTAATTTTTTATGGATTAATCTCTAATTACGTATAATAAATCTATGATTTATATTAATAATATTAAAATATTATGTAAATTTTAGAATGAGTCTTAGTATTGTGTGATGAGAATGACTATTTTTAATAGCATAGCATGCAATACTTATTAATGCAGACATATAGAAACATTTAAGAAGGTTAGTTGGGTCGAACGTTGATCTTATCAGATCAAAATAAGATCGACAACCAACATTGCATCGTGAGCTTCCAGTTCATTGGTGGTAGGGAAGAGGAGGAGGGAGTACCTGCAAGGTACTCCGATGATAAAGTAAGAAACGAAGTAAGGGAAAGGCAAGTATAGAAAGCTAGATTGTGAATTAGAATATCAGACCCTCTAGTGAAAGAAAGTATTTATAATGTGTCCTCAACGCTAGGCCAACGTTTATTTTGCATGAGTTGGATCACCAGGCCCAATACGAATAACTGTCAAGGTTTACGTGGCGTCGGGGAAGACCGACACGTGGTCTTCATCTTAGTCCAACTACCTTGTGATCTCCGAAAGGTGGGTGACCTGTTCTTTCAGACACGGGTAGTTACTGATGACGTGTCCTCGCGTGGGGAGCACGTGAAGATCGTGGGGAAGACGTGCGAGGGTTCCCCGTGTGAGTTGGATGGGGCCTTCATTAGGCCCTCTTCGACGTGGAGTTGGGTTGGAGGTTGCCCGAAGGTGGGCCAGCCTGTGGCCTAGTCCAGAACAGGAGTTTTCCAAATCGTTGCTCTGAAGCGTTAGAGTAATGACATAAGTCAATTCATGTGTTGAGGAGGGGATATATCACACATCACTCATGCTTAAGGCGTTGGGCTTGTCGTGCTGTCTGGGACCAGATGCAGAAGCCATTGACTGTGTTCGACAGTGAGCTACGCCCTTGGCCGACAACAGGGTCGGTCACCGTGCAGGCAGGCACTCGTTCCACGCACTCATGGCTTGCTTTCATCCTCTTTTCGATGAAGTGTTCGCAGCAGCGCAAAGAGTCGGGGCCTTGCCCTCGACATGTTGAGTGGTATGACGGAAGTGGAAAGGGTTGACACGTCATTTCCTCTAGCCGTGTAAGGGGACACGAAGGGACGTGTGTGATGTCTCTGAGCGCCACGTGTCAGAAGCAATCAATGCCTATTAAGGCTATGAGTACAGTACTTGAGGGCCTACGAAACACCTCGCTTTCCATGATAGGATTTTTAAACAGAGGGGAAAGTCAGTTCATTTGCACGCTTCCCATGCAACTAAAGAACTTCTCAAGATCCTTTATGCTCTTCTCTCACCGATTCGCCTCCATCGTAGCTAGCTTCTTGCTCCACCGTTCAACTCTAGACTCCTTACACACATAAGTCCTCCATCTTTTCCGAGTTTATGTTTCTTTTCGGTGAGTCATGCATTTCCAGTGATTTCTCCAGGGAGTCCATGAAGTTCTCGGCGAACTCATGAAGTTTCTGGAGAAGTTAATGAAGTTTCCAGTAGATTTCATGAAGTTTCCAGCGAGCTCATGAAGTTTTCAGCGGAACTATGAAGTTTTCGATGAAGACGTCGAGGAGTTCATGAGGGTTCTGGAAAACCGTATGAAGTTTTTGATGAAGGCCTCGGGGATAGCTGAGGCTTTTAGCGTCCCCGTCGGGCATGACGTTGGGGAAAATTTTCTCTCCGAGGACGTGTGAGTATCTCGAGGAAGTCTCTAGTCGAGGAGACTTCCCTGTTTAACTTGGGGGAACTTAAACGCAGAGGACCATTTCTCCCACGGAGGGAGGTTGCGTGTTCTGCATTAAGGAGAGTCCTCTCTCGGGTGTGCACTTTTCAGCGTCATGCCTTCGGTCGAGGAAGTTTCCCCGTCCTCTCTCTTTGCCTTTTCACTTAACTTGCAAGGAAGGATGGATTTGATCTTAGATGTCGAATTCACCAATTTCCTCTGCTTTTCAGGTAAAATAGCCACAAAGCCTGAAGGCACCATCATGATCGACGAGGAAGTCGAACGTGATATAGTTAACGAAGAGGCCGAGGTCGCGCAGTTCCACCCGCCGTCTGATTGGGTCGGGCATGAGCCTCTTAGCATTGCCTCACGCTTTTCCATCAATGATTTGGACACCTTCGCGACCGTTAAGGATCTTGACGATGGGGGCACAACGAATTGAATGGTTTACAAACCCAAGGAAATCATCAGATATGCTCGTCGTTTAAAGGGATGTGGTTCCTTATGCATGAGCTCATCACCCTTAGTGACTTCCAGAAAGGGATGTTCTAATGGTTACCTTTGGCTCCCTTGCAACTTCACCCCAACGTGATCGCATTTATGCGGGCGTTCGAGCTCGTGTGCGAGTATCTTTGCGTTGGCGTCACACTCCCCTTGTTCTTCGGCACCTTTCATCTCCAGCGCCAGTCCTTCTAGGGTCAATACAGCTGGGTATCTCTGAAGCTACCGAGGAAGCTGTTTAGGGTGTACCAGGATTCTGTCCGCACCTTCAAGGACAGATACTATGTCGTAAAACCGGTTTCGCGCGTGGCTATCGATTCCCTGTTCGACCGCTTGTCCAAACTTAAGAATAGGCACCCGGTGGAAACTTCGGAGGCGAAGTTCTCTCTTGAGTGGCAGGAGGGCCACTTCAAGAAGGGCACGAAGAACTACATCACCAAGCCCGACGATCTAGACCCCGAGGACCAGCTCGCTTACGAGAAGATAGTCGAGTTCGTCACCAGCTTTAATCCCGCCAAGTGCGTCAACAAGGACGGGGGTTTTATTTGCGACGAGTGCGAGGAGGTCCTCCGCGAGACTCGGTTAATTAACACTAGGGCATTCCTCGAGTGCACCTCATATGGGGAAGCGTTGAGGATTTTAGATAGTGGATGTTTTCTTTGCCCGCACATCCTCTACATTATTATCGCTATATTGAGTTGTTTATTTTCTCTTTGTTGCAGCCCAGATGTCAAGCATACAAGAACGCATAATGAAGCTCGCGGCCATTAAGGGTGCCAAGAAGGCCACCAAGGGTCGTGTCGCCCAACTCCAACAAATGGCCAGAGCTGACCAACAGGCCGAGGGTTCTTCCTCTCCCCGGGGGAGCCAATCTCTTTCCTCTCAGGATCCCCCGACCAAGAAACAACGCCTCGGGGAAGCCGATTCTGCTTCTCTTCTGGAGGGAGCTGTCGGGGAAGGTTTCATCTTGCCTTTCTATCATCTTCACCAGGGGCTCTTTTTTGGGGACAACTGCCTGGTCGTGCCCGCTATGTAGTCTAAGGCGATCATGAGGGTCGACACAGCGAACCGGAGGAGGGCTTTATCTGAGGATATGGCCGCTATGATAAGGGTCTTAGCGACGACTTTGGTCCTCAATGTTGAGACTAGCCCCAACTCCGAGCTGAAGGCGATGAAGGATGAGAACATGCTCCTATTGACAATAAGAACAAAGCTGAGAATGACCTCCTCAATTACCAAACAAAGTATGAGGCACATGTGCTATTTCTCAAGGATATGAATGAGATGCGATAGACGCTAAAGGAGGCTTTGGCAGAGAGGGACCAACTTCGAACCAAGGTTCCTTCTTTTGAGGGTGTTGCACGCCCTGCCGAGGATGAAACCAGCAAGGAGAAGGCCCTCGCGACTCACGACGACTTGGTCGCTCGGATCCGAGAGCTCGAGCAAGACTGTTTAGGGGCCCACGAGGCGGGTTTTAGAAATTCTTTGAACCAGCTGCATATTGTGAACCCTAGGGTCCACCTTGTCACCAAGGAGATCGGTCCCTGCCACTAAATGGTTGATCGGGGGAGACCTAGCTGGAGGAGGAGGTATGCGTCTAAGTTTTTCTTTTGTTCGGCCTGTGTGCCACCTTTTTATCATTGATTTTGCCCAGCCTGCATGTCGTAGTATGTAATTTAGTTTGACTTGGCCTACGTGCCATGGCTTGTAATGTTTGAATAATGGGCTTTGCCCTCCCCCTGTAATGCATTGTTTCTTTTACCGCCAGTCTTTTTTGTATTTTATGTGTGCCATTATATGTTGAGTACTTATTTTCCTCGTGACTATACAATATTGTGCTTACCTGTTTTTATCAAGTGTTTAGGGATTTTGCTCGATAGAGTTGATCCTCAAATATGTAGGGAACTGGTCGAGTGGTCGGAGTTAGGTTCTGCCCGATGACGAAACTAAGAGCTCGATCGAGGTCTTTGCTCTGTGGCTTGAACTTC